GGGAAAGAGGAGTGCTCTGTGTCTAAGGCCAGATCTACCAGTGACTCCTTGTGAGCCCAGGGTCAAGGCATTTAAGCATCTTGTCCCTTGGTTTCACTGCAAGGAATATAAGTAGCGGTCCACAAGCAAACACTAGGGATCTGTACACAAGAGCCTATTGCAACACACATAGAAAATAAATTAATCTCTGGTGTAACGCTGCGATCCTTCCTCCATTAGTCCTCTCTCCTATCAGCTAGTGTGATGCCACGTGAATCGCAGAAATCGGTCTGTCATTCTGGTACCCACCTTGTTTTGGTACCAAGCCTCAGCCTCAGCCCGGCTCCGGTTGGCGATGTCCTCGTACTGCGCTTTGACCTCTGCAATGATACTGTTGAGGTCCAAGTTACGGTTGTTGTCCATGGACAGGACCACGGAGGTGTCGGATACTTGCTGCTGCATCTGGGACAATTCCTGCAGAAGATGCAAAAAATTAAGTTAATGGTCTGGTATCTGGGGTGGAAACCATGCAGGCAAGAGGTGGCTTGGGAACCCTCTCTGCCAAGCTGTTTTGCATTTCCCCCTGCTCCGTCTCTTACTATCTACCCTTTTCTATCTTATGCCTGCATTATAATTTCAAAAGGGCAGTGACCACCTTCTCTTTTACTGCTGTACAGCACTGAGCATGGTGGCTGGAGCTCTGGGGCATGGAGAGCTGTACGGCAGGGAGCTGTGGAGCATGCTGTTGTGGGAAGAGCTGACTGCTTACCGCTTCGTAGAGAGCTCTCAGGAAGTTAATTTCATCTGCCAGTCCATCTGCTTTGGCCTGCAGCTCAACCTTGTTCATATAAGCGCCATCCACATCCTAAAGAAAAGAAAACCAAAGATTTCTGATGAAACCACAAGCCAAAGGGGCTTCAGAACACTGGTGGGACCATCGCTCTGCTTCTACGTCTGTTACTCTTTAGGCTTGTTTTCACATTGCTATGATCAAGGGGGTTTTTTTTAATGTAATGTTGGAGATTTACTGTGAACCAGAACCAGGTTCTTGGGCAGAAGGCAAAGCTCTGACTCATGGGGATGTGACCCAAGACAGAGATGGCCTGAGCCACAGGAGGCCAGATGGTTTGCAACTGCAGCTGGAGGAGCTATCTTCAGAAAACAGGGCAGCTCCATCGGCATGGAGAAGGTTATGTCCATTCGTGGCCTCAGGAGGACCCATACCATACTTACTCCTAGATGTGCCAACATCACAGCCTGACCCGGCCATGAGGCTGGAGGACCCCCAGCTCCCATCAGCTTTGCTTGAACTCTGTGCATGCCAAGTTAATTTCACTGTCCATCCCATAACTCCCAGTTCACTCACCTTCTTGAGGACCACGAACTCGTTCTCTGCACCAGTGCGCCGGTTGATCTCATCTTCATATCTGTTAGGATAAAAGAGTGAGAGGGTTTTGGTGGAAATGAAGAGCAAAGCCAGCATGCGAAGCAGAGATGGGACCACTCCAGTCCCAAATCATTAATTGTGGCTCACAGATATATTCCTCGCTCCCACCTGTTTACAGTCCAGAGCAGATGCAGAGCAAATGATTACTGACTCTGAGCCTGCAAGGCTCCATGGTGTGAGTAGTCCCAGCTAAAATTAATAGATTTTAATCACTGCCCTTAAAGTCAAGCTCGTACATAAATGTGTGCAGGATCAGAGCCCATTTTGGTAGGAAGCAGGAGCAGGTATTCTTGGTGACCTTTGCCCAAAGCAAAGTTATGCAAAAGGCTTTCAACGAAGCTGCATTGCAATGCCTACAAATATATAATAATGTAACAATTTGATATTTGATATTATAATAATGCTAATGGCTCTGAATAACCCAGTGCAGTGTTTAATTAAAAAAAAAGTCTGTGATTCTTTAGCCATGGTTGTGCAAGAGCAGATCATTATGCCTCCGACTATGTTTCTGTGGAACTTTTTATGGCTCTGAGCAACATCCTCTCATCAGATAATCAGGGCAGGGCTTAGCTAGAAAGTAGACAAAACATGTAGGCTGTTGAGGCAAAGACCTGGATTTTAAAGGCAGGTTCATGCCAGTCCTCTAACTAGTATTGGCAGAGATATCCCTGCAGATGGATCTCCGAGCGGACATGGGAAGAAGTGGAAATTAGCCAGTGGACTGGCAACCGACTCTAGACTTGAAATAAAAAGCGTTCCCTTTCCTAGGTTGTAGCTCCAAAATCCAGACAAAATCATTTGTCATTTTTGGCCTGATCAGTATTTCTAAAAGCCTGTATTACATATGGAGACCTGCGATGCACCCAAGTACAACGTACCAGAAGCTATGCCAGTCCATCCTGTCAGCTCTAAGGGCCATCTCCCCATTCCCCCCCCCAAAAAAAGTGTCTCTTTGCATGCTTAACTATCTAATATAAACATATTTCAGGCCTCCGGGGTGTTTTTTTCAAATCTGCACTTGGCCAGATCTGGTTGAATAAGGGAAGTTCTCGCCAGATTACAGCCAACTGAAAATGAGCGGCCTGGCCTAAAAAATCCACCTAAATGTTCCTTATAGTCAGCAGACACCAACTGGCATGTCCTTGAAATGATTCATCCCGCCTCTGCTGGCCACCTTATCTCAGGATGGGATTAATTGTCTCCCCAGGGAAATCATTTTCTTTGACAATGGTCAGAGAAAATAGCTGAGCACCTTTCACATGATCGGAGCTGAAGCGAGGCCAAGCGCACGCAGGTCGCCTGGGGCCCTCTGGAAAGGCTGGGATTTCCTTTGCAAAAAGAGAAATGGGGGATTTTGGAGCTGGCATTTTATGGCTATGTTTCATTCCCTTTTCGCATGTCCATTATACTCATGAGTTACACATTTTTCTGTCTCAGATGTATTATTTTGGGAGACTCAAGGGATCAGACCATGACCTCCATTACACCGGAGCTGCTTCCCACGGGTGCATGAATTCTGTGCTAAATGCTGATCCTGCACATAAGAAATCTGAAATAACGAGAGGTAATTCTGAGATCAAGTTTTGCTTTTGTATGTTCATTTTGCAAACTGGAAGAGGAACCCAGTGCAGACACAAGGTGTGCACCAGCAAGCATGAAGTTCCTGCCCTGATTTTCCTATCCGTTAATCATTTATGCTACAGAGCACGATTTCTTACTTGTTCTTAAAGTCTTCCACCATGTCCTGCATGTTCCTCAGTTCAGAGTCCAACCTTCCCCTCTCTCCCATAAGACTGTCTAGCTGCCGTCTGAGGTTGGTGATGTAGGCTTCAAAAAGGGGCTCAAGGGACTTCCTGGTGACTGTGTGACCTTGCTCTTGGAGGAGGCTCCACTTGGTCTCCAGCACTTTGTTCTGCTGCTCCAAAAAGCGCACCTGGGGAGAGACAAAAACAGGCACATGCTGAAGCCCATGTGAACAATGCACAAAAAACCCCTGCTGCCAGGGAAAGGAAATTCAATTCGGAAAGAAAAGGTCAAGAGATCCTGGGACAGTCGGCAGGAAATTATTAGGATCTTCCTAATTTAGGGCACCAGATTCTTGAAAGTATCAAAAGCAGCTAAGGTGTACAGCGAGATTTTTCAAGAGCTATTAAGCAGGCCAAATACATGTATTTGCAACTTCAGGTGTTTCTCCCCGGACTAGATGCTCAGCCCACCTTACTGGTTTAAGTTGGTGTTAGCCCTTTGAGTTGTGTAGAGCTTTGCCATTTTACAACCAGTAGAAGATCCATCCAGCCCCCAGGATGTTTTTTACAGGGAGGAGGGGGGATTACTTTCTCAATAAAATAAGGCGCTGAAAAACTCATCTTTGCAAAGAGGAAACATAAGACAGTTCTTAGTTTTCAGCCAAACCCACGCTATTTGTCAGTTGGGATTAGTTCAGGCAAGCCCCTAAATCCAAAGGAAGTTTCTTCCTGTTGTTCTTTCCCCAGGCAATTGATAATACGCATGGGTTGATGTTTAGGACTGAACTCTCACCTTGTCGATGAAGGAGGCAAATTTGTTGTTGAGGGTCTTGATCTGCTCCCGCTCCTGTGTTCGCACCTTCTGGATTTCCGGGTCAATATCCAGCTTGAGGGGTGCCAGGAGGCTCTGGTTGACAGTCACTTCGTGGATGCCACCAGGTGGGCAAACAGGGAACCCGGGGCCACCTCGACCACCAAATCCGGGACCTCCCAGCCCAAGTCCACTGCCCAGCCCATAGCCGCTACCTCCTCCTAAGGCAAAAGCACTGCCTGCTCCACCACCATAGCCAAAACCAAAGCCAGCTCCTCCACCAAAGCCGTATCCACCACCGGCTCCACTCCGTAGACCGCCACCAACTGAGCTGTAGGAAATTCTTTTGCTTCCACCTAGGTTATAGAGACTTCGGCTGCCGAAGCCAGCACCAGCTCCGAAGCCTCCTCCACCTCCGGCTCTTCCTCCTCCAACTCTGGAGACAGAGACAGAGCTAAAACTGCTTCTGGTACCACCGCCACCTCCTACGATAGCAGAGCCTGAGCTAAAGCCCTTCATGCCCCCTCCAGCAGATTGTCTGAAAGAGATCCGACTCATGGTGGCTTGTTCAATTGGAAATACAAAGAGCAGGAGAAGGAAAAAAAAGGCTGGTGAATAAAAGCTGCGCGGCAGGAAAAGAGCAGAGGGCAACAGAGACAGAAACCCCTGTGATGGGAGAGCCTGGGAGCCTCCTCTTTTATCTGCTTGGAAAACTTGGCACGGGAATTCAGAACTTGACGTGCCTTGCAGCAACTTGCCTTGTCAAACACACCTAGGCTACAGCGAGGCGCTGAAAAATGCATTGTTTGCAGGCAAGAAAGTAACGGAGTGAGGGAGCTCCCCCCTCTACCAAAGCCTGCTGCTCTGAGTCATGAAATTAGAATTGAATGGGACGACTCGCTGAGGTCTGCGCTCAGGAGCAGGATGCAACACGATTCTCCTGAGACCCTGGGAGCCAGTTTTCCTTAGGCGAGTCAAGGGCTCGCTCTGAGTAAGGTTCGTTGCACTGAAGCTTTTGCAAGGTGCAGTTTAGGGTTTAACACGTTGCACAGCAAACAGGGCAGCATAAATAGGGGCTTTTCTGAGGCTGCCAGCTCTGGGACTGGACGTGCATGTCCTGTTAGTGGCTTGGGAAAGCTGGGGCTGAAGGTGGTTTTATTTATCAGTGCAGCTCTTTTGATTTCTTTCAGAAAAGGGATCTAAATGATCATGGGCTTGCAGGGAATAGCTGAGTGGAAGTTGTCTCATGGTAGTGTTTTCTGGGCTCTTACAAAAAAAAAAAAATCTCCCCTCATTGCAGGGGAAATGAAGAAATGAGGTAGCATGGCTTTCAAAGGCAGCAAGTAAATCCTACAAGGCTTATAAAATAGTTATTAAAAAGATGCTTGAAATGATTGCTCTTCTTTTGAACCTCCTTGTCAGGCTCAGAGTTCAAAAGCTCCCTGTGAAGTGGTATTATTATCACTTTTTTCCTGCCTCCCATATTTAACCAGCAGTTTCCACGTCATTGCTGGCTCTCCAAGATGTTCCGTGAAGGGGAATTCACCCGCTTTTCCTCCAGCTCTCTCCCACCCCTTCCTTCACTCTGTTGAGATCATTCAGCCCCTGAGGAAGATTTTTCTAAAATAGCCTTTGCCCCTTGATCAGGAGCTTCAATCCTTCCGGTGAGGCTGGATTGTGCTTTGGATGGTGTAAAGGCAGGAGAGCCGGGGACCTCTTCTCTTGTGTCCATGAAGAGCTGAGCACGGGTTACAAGAGAAGATATCCCCTCCCTCCCACCCAGGATACTTCTGCAAACCGGACCCTGCCCAGCCGCATCCTTGTGCCGCGAGGGCTGCCCACCTCGGTCATGTCGTATCTCAGATAAGATAATAGCACGAGGCAGAGAGATGAAACCCCGAGCAGCTGAATCACAAAGATTCTCGAAATTGGCTACGTGAGCAATAAGTACAGGAGCTTAATCCAAAATGAGCGGCTTAAGGGTATCTGCTGCATCTCGTAGCTTGTTTCTGTTGATGTGTTTCCAACTGCCGTTTTCTCTGTCTGGGAACTTGAAAGAATCTGAGCACAAGGTTTGGTTTCGTTGGGTTTTTTTTTTTTGTACTGTTTTTTTTTCTCATTGCAATCAGAAGAAGCCAGCACTCGCAACTGTCATCTCCTGCAAGCACTCCTGTCACTGCTTATTGCCAATAGCGTGAGTCACCGTACCTGCAGGGCTTCGGGCGAGCTATCAGGAAGCTGATCCTTGGACAGGCTGCTGCAAGGCACCCTCCCGCTGGAAGGGAGACATCTGGGCGGTAGCAAGGGGGTGCTCTCGCCTCGGGAGTGGAGACGTGGGAACCTCCTGGGTGCTGGAAACGCAGAGTTTCACAGGGAAAACTGCACCCATTCTCGCACGTCCGGAAGCAACGGGCCCCCATTTCACAGGTGATGCACAGCGGCAGGTAGCCCCAGTAATAACACCACTGGGGCGATGCTGATATTGAAAATCAATGAATTCTGTTACAAGCATGGCAGCTGTATGGAGATTTGCTTTCCTAAGCCTGCAGATGTGGATTGGCACATGGATGCCGGATCCTGTGGATGGGGGCCAGGCAGGGAGCCTGCCTTTGACTTCCAAAAAGCTATGCAAAGTTACACCTGGGAACCAGAGCACAGGCTGCAAATGTTTTAATTAAAGCAAAGAGAAAGGATTCATGTTGAAGGCAGTCATTACCTCCCCAGCTCTTCTAGGAAAGCCTGTTGCTGCAGACAACAGTAATTAAGTGGAATATTACAAAGGATTGGGAAGAGTAAATCAAATGATTGTTTAGGCACCAAAACAAGGAGAATTCTTGCAGTATCTCTCAGTCCCACACAGTTTCCTTGCTTGGCTTCTGTTGCTCATGTGCACTGTCCTCCTGAAGCTGCTCTGGGTCGCAGGTGGGCTGCATTTGCCCCCTCAGACGGGAAGGTTGCCTGCAGGGAGGACGTCAGTCTGGGCGGCAGGATTTGCTGCAGAGGGGTTGCCTGGAGGGTGAGGGCACTGATGGGAGTGGCGGGTGGGCTGGGGATGCAGAGCAAAGGGAGGAGGAACGGGGCCAGCTGAGATGTTTGCAGGAGCTCAGCTGCCTGTGAGCACCACTTTTGGACTCTGTTATTTGCTTTTTTTCCAGCACAGGCTGGAAGAAAGACATTCAAATCTTTTAAGGTTAGTTAAGGTTAGGTTGTCATTAGCTGTATTAATTCCTGACACCCGTGCTGTGTAATTCAGTGTTCACACGGGCGAGTACAGAAATCGAGGTGACTCAGAATTTATTTTTACCCTTCACTAATTTTTGGCCTGTTTGTCTGCAACATCCTCTGCAACAGCAGGGACTGAGGAGTTGGGTTTTGTCCCAACTTTGGTCTTTCTTACTGCAGCTCCTTTGATTTTCTGGGTGAAGGGAGGTTGGTGTTCCCGTCTTTCGGTGCATCTGGGTTTCAGTGAGGTTTTGCTGAAGCGGTTGTGAGCGTCTGCTGTAAACCTGCTGGGCTGGCGTGTACTTGCTTGCTCTTTCCCATTTGCTGCGCTGAGTTACATAAAGCCGGGATATTGAGAGGTCAGGGAAGAGCAAAGCGTCCGACTCTTTGAAATGCAATAAGGTGTGA